TCCACAAGGGTTCACCTAAAGATGTGCAGGTTTTCAAGGGCCAAATGGTAAGTTCCTGGTTATTTTGGTCAATGTGCAAAGACAAGGGCTGACCTCTGGTGTTAGTTTATAGGCATTGCAGAGTGTTTGCATCTACAGAGCCTGGATCTATATAATAGTCTTTGCTTGTTAATTTGATTCATTTGAAGACTGGAGGCATTTTAACAAAGCAATTTATTTCAATTTATTTGTAAAAGGTTTAAAGTGTAGAATGTTTAGTATTTTAGTTACAGCTTGATGTCAAAAGACTCTAATTGAAAAGTCACTGAATCATTGAATTAAATTGAAAACTGTAATGTGAATTGCAAATTGGGTCCTTTATGATCAAAAACAACAACAAATTGTACTCCCTATTGTATAATACCTTTTAGTTTTATGTGATGGCACAAAAGATAATCTCTATATTTTTCTGCCTGTGAATTCACATCCAAATTCCTGATGCAGGACTTCCAGGACGGTCGCATGTCCAGCCTGATGTCCTTCTTGGCATCAGTCCCTCGGGCTGCCCAGCTGCTGGATAAGGAGCCCAGCCACATCCTGCTGGTTAACTCACTGGAGCATGAGTTCAAACGTTACCTGCAGCAAGTTCTGAGGCACACCTTCCGACAGGATAGGAGGTAATATGTAGTAGTAGAAGAAAACACACACACACACACACACAAAAAAACCCACACACTGTGCAAGGAGAAGTGGAACGATATCATTACTGATTTACTGTATTTTGTCATAAAGGGACCCAGATATCACCTTCTTTGATCAAATGAGCCAACCAGTGGTGATGTACAGGTGAATATATGTGTTCATATGCATTTTATGCATGTGGTAAAAAAAAAAAACACACTTGGACACGGACACACTTTTCTTCCAGAGTGAAGCCTGCAGCCTTTGATCTCTTCCTTGGTGGCTGCATTGCTGCTTATTTGGGGATTGTTTACTATACCATTCAGGTTTGTTAATGTGCCTTTTTTTATATTGCCCATTCATACTGTATTGCCACATTACATCCTTGCAAACAGCGTAGCACCTTGCATGTTGTCTTATGCTTTTAAAAGGTACATAACACTTGACGCATCAGGTTTGTTTTCTCACAGTATCTGTCTGCTCTCTCTTACAGAATTTTGGTTATCTCTACACAAAGCTCAAAGCAGCAGTGAAATCAAAGCACCAATGAACAAGACTGTGAATACAGAGTCTATGAGAAGGGCTTTGAAGTCTGCACTGCACATGTTGGACTTCTTCAATGGCTGCGCAGAACATGAAAGCAATGCACCAAGAATCTTGAAGACGGATCATGTGCATAACTGACAACGTGTGCATTTTCTTTCTAATTTATGTTCAGTACACATAAATCCAGTCTACTATAAACAATTTCTTACATGAAAAGACTAGAATGTCTTGTTTGCAGGAGATGTGAAGTAAACAAAATAAAGGAAAAATTGGGAACACAAACTAGAGATTGGATTTGATTTAAGCACCCTTAACTTTCCCGCCGCATCATTACTATGATTACCCATGTCCTCTGCTCTGCATCTGTTGACATGGATTTGCCTGGGCTTAACGTGGCCGTCAAACAAAGGCCCAGCCACTGTAGCGAGATGAACAGCCAGTTACTGTCACAGATAACTCTAGTGAGTGCAGTGGGGACACAAAGACACCCTATAGTGCTTGGTGAATTATTGATGCTAATGGGGCATGCTGACAATGAACAGAGGTGACCCTGGGTGGTAGTGGGAGATCTGAGAAATCCCATCCCTTTCCTGGATTGTTCCTGTTCTGCAGATCTGATAAGACTGGTTCTGCTTAACTACAAGGTGGCTAAACAGCTGGGAGCTGAGCAATATTTGAGATCAGTGCTGGCTCATTTGTGTGGGCCTCTGGGAGGGAAGTAGGTCATGGACAGTGACCCCAGGTATGTGTGTCTCAGCAGGGGGCCTGGGCTTAGGAAGATTAGTGGCCGAGTGCTCACGTAGGACAAAGAGTTGTTCTGGTTTAGCAACGATGTTCTTAACCTGTCTTCCAACAAAGCAGTTCCATCACAATAGCCAAAAGTTTGATGGTAAAAGCTTTTTACCAGCTATGAGTTTGTCGATAGAATCCAAGCAGGATTTATAGCTACTGATGCATGCACAAGAGAAATACTACGTTGTGACACATTAAACACAGAAAGAGTAATACATTCCAGAAAAACATACGCACAATCCAGCAACAATTTTAAGCAGAAAAAACCCACACATAAACCCACACAAGCACAACAGATACACAAGTATGAGAAAAAGGGAGGAGCCACCAGGTGACGGTGAAGGAGAAGGATGTTCATGACTTTCAGGCGGACTGGAGGGAAGCAGTAGCAAATAAGTAAGACCATAAGTAAAGATGGCTCCCCAGCTCTACATCACCATGTACAAAGAGCAGTTTGCCTCTCCCAGCAGAGCGAAACGAGAACAACTTCGACCCACCTCTGCCCACCGCAGGAACAACCCCCAGCCCCGGCCGGTAAGAAGCACAGCTGCATGGACTGCAGAGCTTTAAAAGGACAATGTGATTATTTCTGCCTGTGCAAAGAGGTGTAGAATTAATGAATTCATGAATTCATGTAAGTGGTAGTAAATCATGTTACCAACATAATTTAACCTAACATTACATTTCCAGGTGGTGGATTTAAGATCAAATCAGACTAACTGGGGAACTTCTTATTGGCACTCTCTTCTAGCCAGATTTAAGTGTCTTACACTAATTGATGGCTTGTTGTTTAGATGTCCCTGTCCTTGATGAAAGCTGTATCCCATCTATAATTCAGTGCTTATTCCATGCCTAATTATTTATCCAGATATGGAGTAAGCAGAGCTAAGAGGAGAGTACAGTCACCCTACTTACTATAAAGAAAAAAAAAAATACTTGACTGCATGACTGCACAAGAGAGGTGAAATTGATGTATACAAAATATACAGTTTACACCATACTGTCTCACTTTTTCAGTTTTTTGTGTTTTATAATAATAATAATACAAAGAGAATTTTTTTTATCCAAATGGTATTTTGAAGCCTGAATGCTCTTTGCATTCTGTGTGTACTGAGAGAGAAATGTCAAAGTAATAATTTTGGAAAAAGTTTTTTAAATGAGAATCAATAAATAAAAAGTGTAAATGCCATATTAAAACCATATTAAATGTGAGATACTCTGTACATGCAAAGAGGAATGTTCAATCTAGTGGAGAGATTATTTGTGACTGTGATATCCAGTGTCTTCTTCCCTTTATCTTCTACTTCTTCTTATATTTCTACCTATACGCGCCCATCTTTTCCATGCTTTTCTAGGACTTTCTGTTTCCCCGGAGTCCTCAGTCCAACTACAGGTCACACAGCACACTACTGCACCCCTCGCCACCTGTGGACACGGGCCGTCCTCTCTTCCCCCCTGTCAGACATTTATCATTCCACAGTCCAGTTAAGGCTTGCCATGACAACTATCTATACACTGGGGACACTTGCAAACCAAACCACATGCCCCCGGTCAACCCATCCACAGTGCAAGCTCTGCCACCTGCTGACAGACTGCAGATACTACAGCTGACCGAGCCTCCTGCTGGCACCGTATTTAAGCTCCACACAACTTTGAAGAACCCAGCAAGGTAGCATTTGATGAGTTTAATCTGTGGTCCAAAGATACCTTTAAATACACATTGATTCTAATTGATTTTCTTTGCATCAGAAGGGATTATCAGAGGAACGTTCATCCACTCTCAGCACAGCAACTCAGGTGAGAGAATGACCTCTGACCTCTTTTTGTGGCCTTTAAACCTTGAATACACTGGATAAGTTGATGAACATTACTGAGTGATCAAGTCCTGTTAATGTATAAAAAGAAATGGAAGCTGACATTGTTTTTGACAGGCAACATGCAGGTTCCCAGCTTCGGACAAGACCCCAAACCAGTAACCCTCCAGCAGATCAGCACCACTTCCTGCAGGCACAAAACCGGAGGTTTGGCTCTAATAGCAGCCTGGATAATAGGTGCATACTGAATTTCCTTTTCCTTCCTTCCTAAAGATATTGTCTAGATGAAAAGATGTCTAAGTGTGCCATAAATAATAACCATTTTTGCTCTGATGGTCTCTTAACAGCGGGGGTTACAGCTGCTTCCACGTGGTGAAGCCCTACCAAGCTGGACACTACATCATACACCCAGAGTTTGTGTCTGAATGCCTTCGTTAGGACGATTACAGCACTGGCTTCCCAAAGTGGGGATAGGGGACCAGCAGAGGTCCTTGAGGATGCTCTGTGGGTTCCCCAGCAAAATGAGGGAACATTGTCTAATTCTCTACTAATTAACCCAGTGAGACAAGGCGTAAGAATGAATAATTACTGTTGGCTGCGCTCTCACCGCTATTATCTCCCTACAGAGTGGACACTTTTACAATTTACTACTAAATCCGCAATCAAGAACTTCCCTTTAAGGGGCTTGTGGTGATCAAATTGAATGAGGCGCTCTGGACCTTATGTGTATGTCTATGACATTAAAATTGTATCCTACTATTATAGAGATCATGTTCTACATGTGATGCAGAAATTCCTTATTTTATGTTTTGAGGGTTAAAACAGAAATAGTTGTACAAACAGGGGACTACAGACTAATTATTATGATGATTATTATTGGTACTTTCTAGTGATACCATATAGTAGACAAGATATACCACCAGTGCTAATGAGGTCATCACATTGCAAATCACAGATAGACCTCAAGTCACCATAGAAATATAATTTCTCAACTTTTAATAATGGATTTCACCAGTTCTTTAAAACTTGTTTTTGTTTCATTCGCCTCTCACTATACCAACAGTGTGTTACGTGAAGTTTTTCAACCTGGTGTGATATGGTCAAATCATGTAAAACAGTGTAATCTGTGTAGTATGAGAAAATAAAGAGTTCCCACCTACTGGACTACATTTCCCATGCTGTGGAGGGCGTAGACAAGGCTGACACGCCGCAACATGCCTTGAGATCCTATTCTGAGGACTGTGGAAAACAAGTTGAAGCTACTTGGAGCTGCTAAGGGGGCTGGCAGTGATCGGTAGGCAAAAACAATTAATAATAATAAATTAATAAGCCGCTGATATAAAACAGGAGAAGCATAAACGATATAATTATATGCCACTTTGCTTACACGGATTCCGTGTTATTTTCCCTCACTTAACTTATCTTGCACCGCCTACAGTGGTGCTCTATGCATCGGACTATAGGCTAGGCTACTGTATGTATAAGTGGGTACATTAGCAAATAGGCTAAGACACACTTTTCTGTAAGTTTATTACGTTATAAACGCGTGTTTATATGTAGGCCTGTTGTAGCCTACGTTACGTGTTTTTCTAATGAAAAAAAGCAGAAAGTTAAACTCTTAAACAGTCTCTTTCAAAAACAGACACATGCAAACCGTCACTTTTTATGAATGCGTTCAGTGCTCTGTAAAATTCTGCCGTGTAATTATATATTGTTGTATATAAGTTTATTTGCCAAGAACATATCATAATCAGCATGCTGCCTACTCGCCACATACACACTACGCACGCGCGTGCGTCTTTTAAGCTAGTGAGCTTTCTCAGACTTCTGACTGTATCAGCACTTCTGTGTTTATCTTTCTGTCAGAATAGATAGTGAATTGGCTGAAACGGCAGATATAAAAACCCCTGATCACACTATAAACAAAGAAGTGCCCCAGTCTGAAAATGTTTTGCCTTTTCACACTCTTTGAATGAGAAAAACACGTTTGTGGTAAAGTTGTTTTTGTTCAGAAAAGCTGCTGTATGCCTGAAAAACTATTTAATTTTTTTTATTTGTGTTAAGGAATGTGTATTTGAACTGAAAAGATTAGTAAATTAATAATTTCCTAGTTTGTTAGAAAATGATTAATATGTGCAATAATTTATCAATTAGTCAGTTCACACAAAATAAACTGGCAACTCTTTTGATAATATTCATCATTTCAGTTTTTCTTTCAAACAAAAATGTCAGGATTTTAAGCTTTTCTTTGTGATATATGATAGTAAACTGAATATCTTTGGGTTTTGGTTGTTTGAACAAAATATATGACATTGGCCTGGGGGAAATAGGCATTTTTCACTATTTTGTAATATTTTATAGACAAAAAGATGTTGGTTAATTGAGAAAATACTTGGCAGATTTATAATCTAAAATAATCTTAGTTTCTGCCTGATGAGATAAATGTGTTGGGCTGTGCAATGTGAGGATGTCATCTCGAGCTCCAGGAAACTGTGGTGGATATTTCACACAATTTTCTGACATTTTATTGATTCGGCGAGTAATTGAGTTGCATCCTAATGCAATAAATTAAAAACAAAAAAACCCACACAGTTTTATAGAATAGGCCTTCTATAAAGTAAATCTTCTCCTGACTTTTGGGGTTTCCCAGCAGCCTGAGCGGACCTCCAAGGAGCTAACAGTTAGTTCTCTGTTAATTAATGGTGGGCTTATGTTATCACTTCGGTTGTTGGGGGAAATCTAAACTAAGGGTTGTTGAACACAGAATTAGTCAATTAGATTGCTAATTAATAGCAAGCATTATTTATTATCGACCCTTGCTGCCATGGCAGACCACAAGGGTCAATTGCAGTCATCAAACAGTGAATGTGGGGAGGACTGAAGTCCCCTCGGTCGGCTGTGCACCTTAATCTGTAATCTATTCTGATTAGCTAAAGCCACAATAACTAACATCAACCAGTTAATTACCCTTAGGAGTTTTTGTTGTACCCCAAGTGGGAGGGAAAGTCAGGTCTGAATGCAATAGAATTGAAAGTGTATATTTCTGTTTGTGTTGGATATTTTGCCAAGGTTGTCAGTTTTCACTGTATTGTCAAAATGTCTAGTTTGGGGCCAGAATGAACCAGGTTACTTCCAGTTTTGGTTAGTCTGGCTTGATGGAGCACAAAGTTTAGTATTCTTTCCTCTCCTTCCTGACATTGGCAGTGCTCTAAGGCCAAAATCCCCTTTTCTGCTCCTCCACTTCCCTACATACAAATGAGTCCTCTTTCAATCGAACTCATATGTTAGAATTGCTGCTGGGAACATCCACCTTATCCCCTTATGGGTAATTGGCAGCAGATTTGTTTTTTTAAATCTCAGACACATCTTTAAAGTTTACATCCTGACAGCGTAACACCTCTAAAGTGCTGTGAAATCACTTTGTGTAACAATGCAGATCAGGTAAGACAATGCTAGAAATGTAATAGAGGCTTTGAACTGACAAGAAAACGAGATAAATAAACAGGCTGACATCTCATGTGCTGATCTGGCTGAAACTGTTTTCCTGGAAGACTCCAGACTGCCTTTTGTAGTAAAGATTTTTGCAGCACATATGAAGAGCATATATATATATGTGTGTGTGTGTGTGTGTATATGTATATGTGTGTGTATATATATATATATATATATATATAATGTATATGTGTGTGTGTATATGTATAAGACCTTCACACGGACTTTTCAAAGTCTGTTATCTCTCTCTCACTCTCTCTCTCATGACAGAAAGGCAAACAGACATAACGACGTGACTAGGGTGGAACAAACAAGGCATCCCTGGAAAACATTTCTATGATCTTCATAAAAGCAACTCTCAGATTTGCCCACTGAACAGCACAAGTCATGTACCAAGTTGTACCGGGAGGAGCGGGAGGCACAATTACAGATGTTATCCCCAAGCAGAAACACAGCAAGGACACTCGACCCTTAGTCGGAGCTGGAGTAATCGGCCTTGTGCTGCTGATGGCAGCAGTGACTGCATGGTGCTATTACATAGCCTCTCTACGCAAGGCTGAACTGCTTAAGACTCAGCTGCTGGATCTGAATAAAGATGGCTACATTATCCGCAACCAAGGAGGGTCTATTGTTTTCAGAATGGATTTCAGGTTAGTGTTTTTCAACTGTCTTTGAAATTGGATGTTTGTGTCATCATATGTACTTCAGATACCTCAGAAATTCCATTACTTTTTTTTGTTATTATGTAATAATATTTAAATCTTGGCAGGTCAGGAACGCTGGATTTGGATTCATGCTCAAAAGAAGGGGAGATTCTGAGCTGTGGACGCACCACTGACAGAAAACTAAACTTCTTCATTGAGACAGTGCGACCCAAGGACACAGTACAATGCTACCGTGTGCGCTGGGAGGAACTGGTTCCTGACATTCCTGTTGAGCATGCTATGACATACAAGTTTGCACACTGGTATGGTGGTGCAGTGTCAGCAATTCAGCACTGGCCTATTTCTATTTCTGGCCAACAGGCTCCCAAACCCTTTGTTACTAGTGACATCTATGTAAACCGCCATGAATTTGGTGGTATTTTGGAGAGTTATTGGCTTTCATCCAACGCCACGGCCATCAAGATCAATAATTCTGTGCCCTTCCACCTGGGCTGGAATGATACAGAGAAAACCATGTATTTCCAGGCGCGATACAATGACAGTCCCTTCAAGCCTAACCCAGGAGAGGCACCATGTGCTGAACTCAGCTACAGAGTGTGTGTGGGCTCGGATGTGACATCCATACACAAGTACATGGTCCGCAGATACTTCAATAAACCAAACAAAGTGCCTGCCAAAGTCATGTTTCGCCATCCCATCTGGTCGACTTGGGCGCTACATAAGACTGATATTGACCAAGAAAAACTCTTGACGTATGCTGCCAACATCCGCAAGTATAACTTTAACTGCAGCCAACTGCAACTAGATGACCGCTACACCAGCCATTATGGAGAATTTGAGTTTGATCCAATAAAGTTTCCCAATGCCACGGCAACGTTCCAAAAACTTAAAGCAGATGGATTTCCGATGTCACTTTGGATTCACCCTTTTGTCAACTATAAGTCTGAAAACTTCCATACTTGTGTAGAGAGGGGGCTGTTTGTCCGGGAGCCAACAGGCCGGCTGCCAGCTTTGGTGCGCTGGTGGAATGGCATTGGTGGCATTATTGACTTCACAAATCCAGAAGCCCGTGATTGGTTTTCTTCCCAGCTACGGTCACTGCGCTCCAGGTATGGGGTGACATCTTTTAAATTTGATGCAGGGGAGACCAGCTACTTACCATGGAAATTTAGTACCAGGACTCCCATTCGGGACCCAAGTTTTTTCACAAGACGTTACACGGAAATGGCTATTCCCTACAATGATAGAGCTGAGCTGGTCAGTGGCTACCAGTCCCAGAACATATCTTGCTTCTTCAGACCAATTGACAGAGACTCTGTGTGGGGCTATGAGTTGGGTCTCAAATCTCTTATCCCCACAGTGCTCACCATCAGCATTCTCGGCTATCAGTTTATTCTACCTGACATGATTGGAGGGAATGCCTATCTCAACCGTACAGATGGAAATCGTGCATTACCTGATCGAGAACTCTATATCCGCTGGCTGGAGCTGTCAGCCTTCATGCCCTCCATGCAGTTTTCTGTTCCGCCATGGGAATATGACAACGAGGTGGTTGAAATTGCTCGGAAATACACAGCCCTCCATGAGAGTATTGTGGCACCTCGGGTCCTAGAGCTGGCTGGTGAGGTGCTGGACACTGGGGACCCAATCATACGGCCCCTGTGGTGGATTGCCACAGGTGATGAGACAGCCTATAAAATCGACTCCCAGTTCCTGATTGGGGATGACCTCATGGTAGCCCCAGTTTTAGAGCCTGGAAAGCAAGAGCGTGACATCTACCTCCCTGCCGGCCGTTGGAGAAGCTACAAGGGGGAGGGATATGATATCAAGGAGCCACTGCACCTCACAGACTATCCTGTAGATCTGGATGAAATTGCTTACTTTGTTTGGGTTTAGCAAGAAGGGAATGTAAAGCTGAACAGATCTGAATTAGCCTATGCTCCGATTTGCTTGCAAGACAAGCCTCACAAGTGTAGCTTTTATTTTGACAGGAGAGACATTGTATGAATGGTAATTTGTTAGGGAAAAGTTTTTCTGCAACAAAATATCAAGCATTTAAAATAGTTTGAAATTTTAACACCACGTTTTATCACAAATTTGAAACCGCTTCACTCAAAAATGCTCGAAACCTCATGTTAGTCTTACATTTTTTTTATTTAAACTAATGTACGAAAATGAGCAAAATAGTGTCCTTTAAAGAGAGAACATTTGTTGACTGTCAGTCACTGTAGCCATTAAGTGACAATTATACATTAGTGATAAATGGTAAAACATAATATAACTGTAGCACAAGTAGAAAAGAGTCATAAAGTTACTAAACTCAATGATGTCAGCTATACAGCAATATCTGTTTAAAGTTTGCTAACTTTAACCACCATGGGTTACTGGTCATACCAGAGCAAATGAGGCTGTAGCAGCTGTAACCACAGCATGTATTAAAGTGAGTGAGGGTGTGTTTTAATGATTATGAAAGACATTTGTTATTTTCATCTTTTAAAAGTTACATATTGTTGCTTTAATTAAAGGCCATTGTATTCAAGCAGCCTATATGAAACATTTGTCAAAAAGGGAATATGCAAACTGTGACTTGAGTAGGGCATGATTGCCATTGCATGCCATAAAGTTTTTATATTTTTGTGTGTCACTTTGAACTTAAACCAAACAGATTGTATCATGTGAGGATAACTGAAAGGGTGTCATTAAGCAGATTGTATGCTTGAAGTTTAATCATTACAAATGGCATGTGCTTTCATTTGTGTATCACAGTCTCACGTAACTACTCTTAGCCCAGAAGAAAGATGTCTTTTGTTAGGAACTAAATATTTTATGCTCTTCCTCAGGTAACAGCCTCTTCTGGCTGTAGTGTCTTTTGAAGTGTCTGGTAATTGACTTTATTGTTCTTGCTGACTCAGAATGCAGCTAGCAATACTATAATGTATAATACATTGACTTCCACGTCCAAAGTAATGAGCATCTCTTCTGGACGATTTTTTGAGGTTTGTAAACACAATAACCTGAATATTAATGGTCTGGTTACTTTATACCTACTTGGAATGCAGTGTGAAAGACTATAAAATTCACAGCATTTAACTATGAAATTGGTACATTGTATTATGTCATTTTGTGTTTTTTGACATGAATATTTTCTAACTGCAGAGATATGAGTGCCATGTATTAATAATTACTGCCTCGTACTGTATGTGGTTTGTAGTTATGCTACACATTTAATATTGTTACATTTTTACAATTTGCACATTTATTATGTAATATTATTGTTAATTTAACCCTTTATGGGCACTCACGTGGTCAACAGAACTTACTACAAATGCCACAAAACTAAATTTTCCGTTATGTAGCTGCAAACGTTCTAGATGAAATTACATCATGCCAAATCATGCATCTTGTTATCCAGAGATGAAACTAATAGATTGTCTCAACCCATTCGGGGTAAGGCAGCACACATTTTCCTTCAGGTGCCTTCTCCGAACGTAAAACCAATAAGTAACCAGTAATATTGGTGACAGCTGTGTAAATAAAGGCTTCTGAATCACTGACCCTTTAGTTTTAACATAAGAAAGATGACTTCATTTGGTTCTTGTGCGTGGAGCTTTTTTTAAACATTTGTTGAGGTGGATTCTGATGGGCAGCTGCGGTAAAGAAAAATATTGTGTTACTGTGAAGTAACAATAAACCTCCACATTGTTAAGGTGCAATTTTCTCATGTGGCAGTAGTTCTTTTTTATGCTGTCTACCTTTCACCCATTATGCAGCCTCATTCTGACTCTGTATGTGCCTTGACATATAGCTTCCACATTGACCTAGGCTTTTGACCTATTTTCATCATAATAATAACTACTTTTTTATAGCAGATCTCACTCAGCATCTGGGCCAGACCAGCCTCTGAGGCTATTTCTGTTTCAGACTGTCTTGATTTATGACAAGACTGAGCGGCTGGATCTCAGACTGAATGATTCTTTGCACTTTTCACATGATTCGAGGCTCTTTGCCTCGAGTTATTGTGATCTGAACATTGGCAACATTTGCATGTGTCTGAGGGGCAGCAGTAATTTCAAGCAAGAGTGCATATTTGATGTCATATTGGATGAAAGAATTAAATAAATCTGACTTTTGTTTTTGAGCATTTCTGATGTGCTTAATTTGCATGGAACACACAGAGTAGTGTACATAGCTGCCACTAGCACATGACTGATTCCAATGCTGTATGAATGAATGCTACACACACACACACACACACACACACACACACACACACACACACACACACGCCCGCCCAACTTTAACTTTTTACACACACACATAATTCAGGTCAGTAAGCTGACCGTGCAACCAGTGAGCAAATAACAACCTGTAACTTCTTTTGAGAATGCAATACATGAAAACTAATGTGCCTATCAATTCAATATTGAAAGAGACACCCTTGAAGGACTTTTCCAACTTTTTGCACCCGCCTCATCATGGAGCAATAATGACAAGGTGATGAAACAATTGTGCAGGTTATCTGGAGGCTGTGTTCAAATCAATAAATCATCTGGTGGTTCATGATGCGGGGCCAAAGAGCAGGTGATATAAAAGTGTACGACCAGACACCAAGAATACAAAGTACAACAGTAGGAGATAATGGCGACAATATTTATTTAGAATTACAGCATGATTGTTCTTTTTTCAGTTCAAACAGCCCGACTGGACCGCTTCTCACAGCTGTAGTCGATTTTTCATATGTTTGGAGAATTTATTCCATTTCACAACAGCGGGATATGCTTCAGAACTACTTCACTTTATTTGCCAATGCCTCATCTTTCTTCAGAATTGATCTTGACTTGCAGCCTGTGAGGGTAGGACATACATTCATTGATTAGCTGTCTGTGTGTTGCAGGGATCAATAGTATTTGTCAGTTTGCTTTCTGCAATCATATTGTTTGGTTCTGCCAATCTTTCCATAGACTGGACAGATTATTTATAGGAGCTGCAGGGGGAACTTTGAGGTTCCTAGGAGGGGAGTCAAAAAAGAGAAGATTAGATTAAAAAAGGACCATTTTATTCCAAAATAATAGAAGTCTAATTTAATATATTTGGAAATGGTTCAGTGTGTGGAGGCACATCTCTTACTTTTTTCACTATTTTATGAATTTGTTTTAAATGAAGGGAAGCATGCATGTTTACCTGTTGATAGCAATATAAGTGGCGATAACAGATGGAACTGTAATACAATGTTTAAAATAAAGGTATTTTTAAAATATCCACAGGTTGTTTGTGGAAGAGCTTGAAAACTAAACAATGACATGAAATCTGTTTGTTTTGGCCATGTGGTGCTGCAGATGTCCAGAAGGGTGCAGTGTAGCTTCATTGATAAATTCTTTCTCTGACATGTTAGTGGACCATGGTCCAGATGTTCTGCGCACACACACGCACACACCAAGCAGGACACAAAACTGGCAGAGCACTCCCCTCCCCCTCCTTCCCCACCTGTGAGCCCACCTGTGTGTCCATCTGCAGAGAAGAGCCGCCAGTTGTTCTGGTTAGGAGCCAGTATGTCTCAAGTACCTTCTCATATCCTCCTTGCATGAGCCTGTCTGCTGTCCATCCTCCCAGTAAGGCATATATATTATACAGAAAGTGAAGTGATGCATGGCACAATTGCCATAAAAACACTGCTGACTTATAACAAATGTTAAAAATAGCGGCATCTTTTGCAATTTCCCACAGAATTATGGTTAATGTCCTCAGTATTTAGGAATATCTGACAATACTCATCATCATTAATTAGTGTAAAAATTATTCAAGCACAGTATTGTAGTGTATTGATGGCCAAACATATGACTTTACATTATGTTGCAATTTATGTTGTCATTTGTACAGCTGAATTCAGCAAGACTTGAATTAACAACTGCCACTAAAATAATTGTAGATGAACATTAAAATTCCTGAATCATCATCACAATTGCTGTTAGGTCACAATTATGAACCAAAATGAACAAGAGACAAATCATGATGAATCAGTTCAGTTTTATTTAAAAACTTTCCACCTTCTTGGAGTTAAGTGTGGAACAGGCATTTATTGTAGAAGACCACAGGGGAAATAAAACCCCATGGCCGTCTCTTGTGTGAAGTGAGAATCTTTGTCCTTAACCCAAGATTTTCACTCCGTAACTAGAATGACCTCGCATCTGCTGCTGCCATGGCTTGTCTGACAGGAATATGTCTGTCCTCGCTAGGTAACAAATGAACCCAACACCCCAGAGACTGGTCTCGCATCTGTTTATCTTTTTGACCTGTCGGTTCGCTGCACTGCATCAGGCTTACACTCCTCTGCAGCCCTGTGTGAATTTCAGAGCATGCATCTGCCATTACAGGGACAGAGTTAGTCAGTGTTGGCTGGTGGCAACATTAGTTAAGTTTATGACTGGGCATTAAAGTATAGTATAGTGTGTAGTCCACTTACAACATTTGTTTTTATAACTTACTATTATATTTTTGTACAACAATTTAAAAATGTATTTTTTATTATTGCCTCTTGATGTTCTTATCTTTATTGTGAAACTGTTCTTACTTTTTTATTGGCTAGCAATAGTGCTAAAGATTGTCATGTTCCAGCGACTAAATGTGAGGATTTTCTCTCTATTTTTCTTTTCTAAACTGAACAACTTTAGGTTTTAGACAAGCAATTTGATGACCATCACCTTGAGTTTTAGGAAATTGTTATGGGGATGTTTCACTGTGTCATGACATTTTCTAGACCAAATGAATAATCAATTAATCTAGACAATTATTGGCAAATGAAATTGTTAGTTTTAGCCCTGAACTTTGCATCAGACTGCAACTTTAGTTTTGTTGTTGCAGACATTGACAATAAAGCTCTCTTGAATCTTTAGCCTATGCAGATAGTGTAGTATAGAGTTAAGGAAAATGACTACAGATTTGCAGACACACTTAAATAGTAAAATTGAGGACTTGGGTGAGGACAACAGGCAGGGTACATCCTTGGTGCCTTGATGTGGGTAAGAGGTTCAACGAAATGTCTGGCACTGAGGAGCAGATGCATAATTGAAACATTGCGTTGCTGCTGCAGCCGCGCACAAGGTTGTTTGATTGATACCGTTTTAGAACACTCCTGTCCCCTCATGCTCATGGGGTTTACCTGGGGAGAAACCAGGGGAGGGGGAAAGGTGCTTAGGTGGCTCATCTGGGTTTTGGAGGAAAATTGGTGCCATCCATCAAACACCGCATTTAACAAACGCTAACGCAGGCCTGGCCAACAAAGGATTCGTATATAAGGCAGCGAACCTGGAAACATGTGAGGTGCAGGGACTGCTGAGGGTCTATCAATCAACCAGTCAGCTCCTTTATTTAACAAGCGAGGGCCACAGACCCCGAGGGCCACACTCCATATTCTGGCTGGTTGGGCTTGAAGTCTTCTCCTGTAAAATGAAGAAAAAGTGGAAGAGAGGGATGAAGGGAGGAAGGAAAGAGGAGCATGAAGGGATTGGGGTTGGGGGGTGATGGAGGTGCAGAAGGGGTTGGCCCATGTCCCCTGGCGTGCCGGTGCGCTTCATCTTCTCAGTGCAAGGGCCTGGAACTGCTGCTTGATGGGATTTTCAGCCCTGTGGCCTCCGCTGTCCCAGCATCCATCTGGAGGGCTGCCGTGTGCACAGCGGAGAGCCAGCCACTCAGCGACACAGCCATAAAGAACAACCCGTAGGCCAGCCAATGCCACTGATCTGAGGCTCGCAGCTCTGTTCAGTGGACAGGCCAACACTCAGTGGCACACATTCCTGTCAGGGAAACAGGCTGATCCCTAAGCTACTGTGTGCTCAGTCGAACAGAAGACACGCTCTGTGAGGCAGCCCACATCCAACCACTGACTCCTTCAAAGCTTAGAAAATTGGAATGGAACAGGGACTTCACTATTCAGCAGCCTTAATGGTGTGGAGAGGACTATCTCCCCTCTCTCATTTGTTCTGTCTCTGTGTGTGTCACAGCAATGGAATATACACTTATCCTTATTTCTGCATTGGGTGACTTTTGATTTTTTTTTTATCATGATTGCATTCAGCATCTGATCAAGGTAAGATGCAGATGTTATAGTAGCACCTTATAGACGATGCAAATGTATCCGCAGTGGTCACAGAGATTCCTGATTTGAATAAGCCTGTTGCAAGCTTGGCCATAATAAAACCTTGCCTGAAAACAATGCCTCCTTTGCATGTTCAATAAGACACTGAGTCCATTTTTTACGGAGAAGTTCAATTTAATACCACAACGCCCAGCATCCAATAATATCAGCGATATATTATTGAAAATCAAGACCAAATATGCAAAGACAATCATTACTGCCTCTCATTATTGGATCCAATTTGTGTATACCCCAGGGAACAGAGTGGCAAATAATGGATTGGTACTGTGGAGAGCCGAGATACTGTACGTGCCGTATTGGTGGTGAATGTGCACGAGATCCAGGCTGGTATAACTGATACAAGTGTGGAAAGTTTGGATTGGAAATTTTTTTGTTTCTCTTCAGGGCAACGCTGCTTCATTAGCATATTTTTTTTCTCTCCTGACGACTGTAAATTCAGTAAATGTAGCCCTGCGGTGGGTAAGGTGGGCAGACGGCAGACTGTATAAATAAACAGAGTCTGTCTGAGGGCAGCACCGTGGCCCCCACCTGCCCACCATCAATCAATATTACAGCGGCCACTGGCAGCCCAATCGCCCTTTTATTGGTCTGTGAAATGATCAAACATCTGCTCATACCCATGCTTCATATATAGATGGATCAAACATACGATATCAAATTCTGCATGATATCATGCTGCACAACAGGATGTAACAATGACAATACAGTGCATTTATACAAATGTGTGTAAAGTAGCAGATTGGGGGGTATAAGTAGCCTTGGGGAAGAATTGTTCAATAACAGAATCAGTGGGCTTTTTAAGGCTCACCAAACACTTTGGATCCATAAAGCCAAAATGGAGGACACAAAAGTGGTTTGTCATCTTATTGTTTTCCAAATATCACATTTTGTGTGCCCAAAAAACTTGGATGAGAAAAGCACAACTCCATGTCAACTATTTCCTTGTTTACTATTTAAAAGTCGGCCATGTTGATGGAAACTCAGTAAAC